TTCTTTGTAAAAACTTCAATTGAATTTCAATAAAGTTAAAGGCATGGCCTCACCACTAATATTTAAAAAAAAAAAATTATTAAGGATATGTGAATGTTGGTTTAATATCATTGCTAACTCATTGCAAACCTATTGTTTGTGTTTTTGATAAACTGAAAGAAATAACATTTTTCTAGAAAGAATAATTGTTTAGATATTTTTTGTGTATGCCAAAATCTTAATTATCACACACAAATGAGTCCGATTAGCCTATATACTACTAGTCCGGTAGGTCAGAAATCACTTTATTTGAACATTTTCATTACCATGGCTAGATTATTAGCATCCAACAAATGGGTAGAGTATTAGCATCCAACCAAATGCAAGATTTTGTGAACGCACATCATCGAATATTGCTGTAAACCATACCCTCAGTTTTCACTTACGGAAAACTCCGTTCCTGGTATTTATAACCATTACGTATATCACTTAATTTTAATTATCACAACATTCCCATTAAAAATTTTCGCTCATATGACCCTGAATATACATATATGTTATATACATATATGTTTTTGATCGGAGAGCATAATGCCAGGTAGAATTAAAATTAGAAATTATAAGCGTCTGAAAAAATTAATTGAGGCAAAGCTTATGGTTTTCTGTGATTCACAGAAAACATCGGAATTTTCTTAATCACAGAAATTATCCTTAGTCGCCGAAGAATATCACAGGATCCCAAAAAACGTGCGGAATACCACAGAATCCATAATATGTCGCAGAATTTGAGCACAAATTCAAGCTAGTTCGGATAATCTCGTAAAGGTAGACGTAAATTACGAGCATGTTCACCGGCGAATTACAGAATTATTTGGCTTGGAAAATTTTGTAATTGCATTAAATCACAGAATTTGTCTTAACCACACTCAAAATTTAGTCTTAACCACCGCAGAAAACATGACCCTGAACTGTAACGTAACACAATCAAAAAACTTCCTTGAAAAATTCTGAAATTTTTTTAGGATGGCGATTCTACTTTTATGAAGAGAAAATGAACGAACATAAAGACAAGCAAGATCAGGCCGATAATTTCCGATTAAAAAAAATTCAGATTTTATTAAAATTTGCTATGTATACGTTCCCCCTCTTTTGAGAAAGGATTGTAACGTAAACTACCGAATTTAGAGTTATACTATTTCCGGCATTCTACGTACTATATTCGAAAAGTAAATTTCTTTAAATATAATTCTCTTACTATATATTTTTGTTTCTTATAATCTTTATATTTATCAATAATTATAGGCCTGATTTCATTTAGAATTAATTCAATATTAGTAACCCATAATGGGAATAATTGCAAGTGAAATAAACGGAAAGTTTTTTGAGGTTTTTTGAATTCTTTGGGCTCATTCTGAGTCACTCCTTCCATTCCCTCTTTAGATTTTCTTTTGTCATACATATATTTTCTATCGTATTTAAGTCTGCCTATAACCAAATAATAAATAATCAAAAATAAATTTAAAAAATAAATAATATATCGAAATGATTCAAATAATTTCCGAAAAAAAACTAGGAAAAACATAATCATTATCATCGTGTTCTAAACTATCATTAACATAAGCCTCTTTAACTTCATCATTAGTCTTTTTATTATCTAAACTATCATCTTGATTAACCTCTTTAGCATAAATTCTAAGCTCTAAACTTTCAATAAAATCACATGATTTTGAAAGAATAATTACACCAATCCAGATTCCTCCTAAATACATCAAAAGAATTCTTAACGTTCGTTCTGCATCCTTAGATAGATAGGTTTGATTGGGAACTTGTAAAACAAGCGATAAAAAAATTGATATTGTGAGACTGGAAAAAAAGAACAAAACGGAAACTGTAGTATCGAAAATCCTTTCTCTAAACAAAATATCATTTCTTCGCATCAATTTAATTATTAAAAAATCAAGCATTGTGAACATATTGAGCTCTACTTTTTTTTTTCGTTTGATTAAAAAAAGATTTCTCAAAATTACCAAACTCTTTAATAACTTTATCATCAATATGTAAATACATAAGTTTGAACGTACTCTCATCGAGTTCAGTTGAGCTACCTGCTTCAAAATATTTCTGCGCAGTATTGTTAAGATATGCAGTAACAATAGTTACTAACACACCAATTACACCAAATACTGATGATAATTGAGTTCCAATTTTCGTCATTATATCGGAATCTTCTGCCAATGCGAATAATTGACCAAGAAAAATAGAAGTCAACGATATAAAAATCTCTGCAACGAACAAATTTTGGCGAAATCTCATATTTTTTTGATATGATTTATATTCTTCATTTAATTTCACAATAAAGAATTTAATTATTTGATGCTTAAGATTTTCATCTATATCAGAGTTATCAGGGTTATCTGATTTATTTTTTCTAGCTAATTTATAGTTTTCATTTGATTCTACGATAAAATATTTAACTTCTTGAGGAGTCTTAATAAAATCTTCATCTTGTTCAGAACTCATTATGTTAAATAATGTCCTTTTTTTCAAATCTTTTTTCTTTTAATCTTTTATAAATGTGACTGAATATATTGTGTAATAAAACAAAAAACAATGTCCTTTTTTCGAATCCTTTTTTTTAGGCTTTTATATTGTGTAATAAAACAAAAACAAACAGTTTACTTTAGAAATAATTTGTCAGCTTATGTTGAAACTTGAATTAAACTATAAGTATAGACTATCTGTAATTGGGCGGCTAAAGTATTATTTCTAGTTATATATATATTTGGAGATTAGTGATCTGCAAAGTAAAAAATCCAGCAAGAAAAACTATGAACTAACAATCATGACAAAGTATGTAACATATTAAAGTAATTCTTAAATTATCGACTTCATACAATATACTGTATGTACGTACTTACAAAAGTGCAAGAAATATAAAAATTACCATTATGCCTTATAAAGACAAAATACAAACATTGAAATTGTGTGTATGCAAATACCTTTATTGAAGTTGATAATTTGAATTTTAATGCTTACACGACAAGAGGTACCCTTATCGTTATGTCCTGCAAATTCCGTATGAAGATTGTCGTGTAACAAAACAAAGGCAAAAAGTAGTAACATATAATTTTACTATGAAAATCTTCTTTTGGATTCTAAATAAAAATTTTTAGGATAAAATTTTATAATCCGTTTTTTATACAATTGGTATATAAAAGGTGTCTGTAATCAGATATATACTTATCTAAATTTTGGTCGAAGGTCCGAATTTGCAGGACATAAGGGTACACGATCACTGAAATTAAAGCATTTTGACTTCTACGAAGTACGTTATTTACTATTTGTTATTTGACATTTCTTATTGTAAAACCATATAGATAATGTTCAACCCATTTTTCAGTAAAAAATATGGGTTAGACCAGTGTTGGAAACTGTTTTTAAATTGAGAACACAATTAATTATTTTTTAAATATTAAAGGTGAGATCATGTTTTTAACTTTATTGAAATTCAATTGAAGTTTTTACAAAGAAATGGTTGTTTTTAAATTTCATATGAAGAATAAAGACTCAACCATATAATCTGCAACCTAAACTTTCAAAAGTGGTCAAGGTTCACTTAGATTTGGATGTGAATATAATATAGAAGAGAAAGGTGTGATATTTAATCCATTGATTAGTTCAAAGGTTAATTTTAGTAATATTATATAATATTTAAATAGGAGGTAAAGGTAAATTGGAAGAAAAATTATAAGATAAATTAGTAGAAAATATTAATTGAGATTGTGCAGAATATAAAATATAATATGAAATTCATATTTGTTTATATATTGGTTAGTTTAAATAAAGAAGAAGTTTAATAAAAAGAGAAGTAGCAGTATGGGAAGAAATAGAAGTGTTATAAATAACATCACAGATAAAAAATTCTGACAGCTTGTGCATTATAATACATTGCACAAGCACCAATTAAGACCTAGGATCAAATATGCACAATCGACTCCACAATAGTGAAACATGAATAATCATACCTTCAACATCCAAAATTCGTAGCAAGATGAATATATCCAAATCAGGAAAGACATAAGGTTGTAAATATAATGTTTTAGAGTAACATGATCTAGGTGTTAAAAAGATGAGTAATGCATTAAATTAAAAGATAAAATACAAATACATAAAATATAATACTTATTCAATTAAGTAAAACCCACAATCACATAATGGCAGAATAGTAAAAAAAATATGAATAAGATCTACAACAAATAGTATTAGTTAGTACTAATAAAATTGTATAAAAACAAAAAGAAATTTTAATAAAAACTTATTTTTAGTGTCTCAGTTAGTATAAGAAAGCTTGAAGTCTCTATAGTTAACAAGTTTGTAGTATAACAATTATAGTAGTTAGTGCTTATCAAATACAAAAGTCAAAGTATAATAAAAATAAAGTGATACTAGCCAAATCTTTATCCATGCCTTGAAGTCTTGTTACTTTGAATTCATAATATTACATGAGGTTTTGTCTATTGAAGTGACAGACTCACTGTTTATTTATCACAATAGTAAAAATAAAATCAGTAAAAATTAAATTATATAAAGTAAAAGTAAAAGATGATATGTGTAAAAAATTATATAATTTAAAACTGTTAAATATAAGAATTTTTTTATACAAATCAAAGATAAAATTAATAAACATATTGAAAGCAGTTGTATTTAAGATGCAATTAAAAAAATTAAAACCAAAATAATAAATTATTTAATTAGAAAAACAAATAACTCAGTATAGTAAAGAACTAATTTAATTGTATTATAACAAAAAAAAAGTAAAAGAAGTTATGTTTGTGAAGAATATAAGAACAGGTAGTTTATTCAAGAGAATTTAAATACAAAAGGTTTTTAGAATAAAGAAATAAAAGTTATGAGTAAAGTTAAAAATATTTTATTATTAATGTAGAGCCAAATAATTTTTTAATTGATATTAGATATATTAGTAGATTATTATTAGAAATAATGTTGAGATATTTAAAAGATCATAATATGAGCTTAATAAATAATATAAATAGAATATTAATAAAAAATTAGTTAATAAATAGAATATAGATAAGATTGTAAAAATTATTAGTTAAAAATGTTAAAAAAGATAGTTATAAGCAAGTTAATTAGCAAAATTATTAAATGGATTATTTTAATATACAGTAAATTATAAAAAATGAGCTGAATATTATAAGAGTTAATAAAGTTAATAAAAGTTTATTAAATAGAAAAGTATAAAATATGAATATAAGAGAATTTAGATACTAATTAATAAATACTATTATATTTAGAGATGACTAATTATAAATTAATAAAAATGTATTATGGCACATTTGTAACCACTTTAAAATTTAAAAAATTTTAACACCTAATAGGGAATCAATTGAATTAACATTATATATACATATTATATAAGTTATAAATCAAATTTAATTAGTTATAAATCAAATTTATATATCCTGATTTGAATTGCATATCTTACATAATAAAATAAATACATATAAAAATAGTAACAAATAACTTAAAACTATCATTATAAAAAAATAATAATAATAAAAATTGGTGAAGAAAACTCAAATTATTCAATAGAATATACTATTAAATAAAAGTTACTATAAAGAAGTTTCAATACTACATTGTCAAAGAAGATGTTTATCTATCTAAATCTTATCTTGCTTATAGCAAAACACCAAATCAATATTTAGTTTCTGATAATTATATAGTGAAAACAACTTATAAAAAAAAGAAATAATAATTACTTGTTCTATTAATTATTTTAATAAAAAACCTTAGTACAAAATACAATTTGGATTAAACAAAAATAATTATATATATTCAAATCATTCATCAACAGATGCAGTAAATGCATACCTAAAAGCTTATTATGAAAAAATCACAAATAAAAAAAGAAACAAAAATTCGAATGTAATATATATGATACTATTTATATGTATTAAATATATAATTTACTAAGATACATTTTTATTAAATTAATTTAAGTAGTTTCAACAAGCAAAAATAATGTTTATTTATTTGGTCTACAATTAATACAAATTAAATTAATGTAGAAAAATCAAAACAAACCAAGAGTTATTAGACTGTTTTCTGAAATTACAAATCAGATGCAATTAAATAAGGTAGAAACTTAGTACAAATATTTTAGCAAGTCTCAAAGATTTAATAAAATAATATTTTTCTACAAAAGATAATAACACAATTGATGAATTAGTTTTTATAATAAATACTTCAAAATTCTAAATTATATATTATTCTAAAACTAATAATAAAGTAAAGTATCAGCTAGCTATAACATAAGCTTTAGATAATAATAGAATTTCAAAATTATCATATCAGGCTTTAGCAGCAATATGTTATGAATTACTATGTGATAGAGCTATATTTGAAATACTAAGTTAAATAAATGCAATTATAAATAAAAATATTCCAATCTATCCAATTAAGTTAAAATAATTTAAAAATAAATTAAATTCTGTTTATAAAATCTATATTACAGATCATGAAATAATTAATAAAGTCAAGAGCTTATTAGAAAATAGTACAAGATATTCAATTAAAGGTATTTTAAGGTTTCTTATATCATCTATAATTACCCAAAGAATACTTAATTATTCTGAATCAACATTACATATCTGTATTTCTGATAACAGAAGAAATGTTGGTCACAAAATCAAACATGTAATAGTAACATTTACAATCCTAAATACAATGAATATTTTTAAATCAGACTTACATTTTGTATTATTTATTTATTTAAGTATAGAAAGTTATAATATATTATATATTATATTAGCATTATTAATAGAGAATTACATAATATTAAAACTGGATCTATAGATAATAATAGATATAAGTAAAATATTAAATTATATATTTCTGCTAATTAAAAATTTCTTAATATTTGTCTTGGACATAAATCAGTTAATAATGCAAACTTCTGTCTTTTGTGTTCAATAAATAAGTCCCAAAATAGAATTTTAGAATTAAACAATTAATGACATAACAATTGAACTATTAACAAGTATATTGATAATATTAATCAAAATTATTATAATATTTCTGGATATAAAAATTTTTTATTATTTTTAATGATTTTAGTTTGCAACTGGGTTGTTAATAAATTACACTTATTGTTATATATATTTGATTAACTATGATTATTTGTTTTAAATAAACTTCATAGTATACATTATTTTATCGATTATATATATCAATCAATTGTTACTAAATAGATTGAATTCAAGTTTATTTTTAGTTTTGAGATGATCAAAGTACTAAAATATGGTTATTTACAACTTTAAATAGAAATAATAAACTTAAAGTCTTAGAAAACTTTAATTTAAATATTATATTCACATTTGAAAGAGCTACTATTATTAGAAATCTATAAGATAGTTTTATCAATCTATATAATAATATGCATGCTTCAAATATTTCTAATAGCCAATTTTATCAAAAAGCCTATTAATGGTTAAAACTCTTTTTAACAAAGTTTAAAGATAATGTAAATTTACTAGTATTTATTTGTAAACTTTATTAATTAACAAATATAACATCATATATTTACATTCTTGTATATCATATATCTAAATTTATAGATATATACTGAAGCATTAAATTTTTTTAATTTTCTTGCTGTAGAGTAGAAAAAAAAATTATAATTATGTTTTATTTTTTTTTTAAAATGTCTATAAAAGATAGTAAAATAAGTAACAATTGAAAATTTTCAATATTTGAAATTATAGAATATAAAAACTAGACTAATTTTTTTTATATTTATAATATATTAACTTATTTTAAAAAAGATCATATAATTTGTAAATATTTGAATACTGATGTTGAATAGAATATTACATAAAATTTTATTACAATACTATATATATTTATATGTAATATTTATATATATAATGTAATTAAGCTATATAATATATGCATATTCACTAATTATTGTATATACATATATTATTTTAATCAATTTTTCTATATATAATTTATATTATTAGTATATAATTCTAATAAAACTGTTCTACAAGAAATTTCAAAGTAATTTAACCCATTTTAGTTCTATTTTTATCTTTATCATTAATTATACACTTTTTTCAGATTATAATTATTTTAGATTGTTCTAAATTCAATTGTGAATTATTTGATGTTTCAGATACTAGTATGATTTCAGATATTTGTTTATGTTCATAAATTTTATATTATTAATTTTCTTAGTTAAAAATATTTGTAAGAGTATTATACATATTATAACTACTAAATCTACAAGTATATTTTTGATAACACATTAAATATCACTTGATATAATTTTGAAAGATTAAAACAAACTCTAGTTTACTAAATAGTGCTGAAACTGTTTGTAATTCAGTATGTTTTATATGAAGTTTAAGAAGTAATTGTATAAGATAAACTAATACATTTTTGGCTTTAGTAATATAAAAATCAAAAGGAATAGAAAGATTTTTAGAAAGTATATTATAATTAGAGTGTTTAAAAGTTTCATGACAACTCAATTTACTTTGTTTTTTAAATATTGTATTTGGACAAAATAGCTATGAAAAAATTTTGTCTGAAGAGACACTTATAGCATTTTTGTTGTAATATATTTTTTGGTTATATATTTTGAGACTTGATAACTTTTAAATTTCTTATCATTACAGAAAAAATATAAAAAACTATTAGTATTACTAATGTTTATTTTTTTTTTTTGTAGATTTGTCTAATGAGATGCATCACTATGAAAAATAGATAATTTAAAATTGGTTGGATATAAATCTGAGAGTGCAAAAAAATTTTTTCAGAGTTTATTTTTGATCAATTAATAATAAATTTAGTAATTATTATTTTAAATTTAGTGATCATTATTTTATATTTAGTAACCAAATATCTGCTTAATTTTGTTAATATGCTATAATAGTGAACAGAACAGTTCCTAGAAGCAGTAATAATTACTAAGATAATAGTAAGAATTTTAGCTTTAAAAAGTATGACTAAAGTTTAATTTATATATAAAATAAGTAAATAGTTGTAAAATTATCAACATGAAGCCAACTTATATTTATAAAAAATTGAAAAGTACCAAAATTAATAATAGAACTGTCAATATGAAATAAAATAATAAATATATTGTGGTTAGAGTTAGTAATAGATTATAGACCATTAATAAGTTGATATAATTAAAAATACAAAATAGTTGTTATAAGTTAATTATTAATAAAGAAAATAATAAAAAATATAAAAAATAATAAATAGTTACAAAATATGTAATGTTAAGAAAATTAGCATATAGGTTAAGAGTTTATCAAAATTAATATTATTTTTACTCAGATTTCTTTATTAGATTTTATAAAAATATATAATGAAAGTGGTGCCTACTTTGCTAATTTACTACTTTCTTTTCATTGCCATTTTTATCTTTGTTCTAAATAATAAGTACTACCATCTGGTGGATATCTATGCTTAGTCATGTGATGAAGCATTTTAGAGAATTGAAGGTACAGGCCCATGCTATGATGTAGCGCATTCTACCTTATTTTGGGTAACAAATTCAGGTCCACACTAGTGATGCCGACATAACATTTTAATGTTACTATGTTTTGGGTTTTGTCACATGATAAAACTGATATTAATATAAATTGTAGATTAAAACTGTTAAAATAAAAATGTTAAAACTATTATATACTATAGTTAAAAACACTGATCAAAATTACTACTATTACATATCAAATTATGCACATAATCATATATAATATATATTAAATTAAACTTTGTTATTATCAAATTCCATGTAAAAAAAAAAAAAAATTCAAATTCTGATGTATATTAAATTAAGTTACGAAATATATTAATTACACTTCGTTATTATCAATTATGTAAGACTAGTATAAGAAGCTAACACCAAAACAAATAATAAAATAACTCTTATTTATTTTAATATGTCAAATAATATTGATCATAATTTAATTGCTGTTGGCGTCTGTTCAGTTAATAAAAAATCCAAATCTGGTGGCTGACCTCGAGGAGAAATATGGAACGCTTATACTGTCGAACAAAAAAATAGAAATTACTATTCTATTTGATGTGACTATTGTTCTAAGCATTGGAAAAGAGGAATGCCAAATGTAATGGAATCACATTTAGCTAATGAATGTTCCAGTTGTCCACAAGATGTACAAAAATATTGGCAGAATAAATTTGAAAATCGAAATAATAATTATCGAAGAACTTCAAATACAAAATGTCACAATTCAATAGATTCTGTTAATACAAATAATTCAGAATTACTTTCTATAAATTATCAAAATTTACTTGATTATGCTGTATTAAAAGCTTGGGTTGATTGTGGTATATCTTTTGAGATCATTGACAATCCTTTTATGCGAGACTTATTTATGCAACTTAATCCTGCATATCACCCACCTGGACATACAACATTATCTGGTCGAATCCTTAAAGAAGAAATAACAAAAGTTAATAAGAAAGTTTCTATGATTTTAGAAAAAAATAGTAATCTCACTTTAAGTAAGTAAAAAATATTGTTTTAAAAAATCAATATATTTATTAATTTGTTTTTTTTTCGCCTTAGATGGATGGTCATCACCTCAAGCCACATCAATATATAATTATATTGTTACCACGGTAGATTGTAAAAAATACTTGGTGGCATTAAAAGATTACTCCAACAAATCAAATACAGGAGAATTTTTAGCATCTGAAATAAGCACAATAATAACTTCAATTGGCCTTGAGAAATTTGCTGTGATCATAACAGATTCAGGAAGTAATTGCAAAGTTGCACAAAGATTTACAAATCATGATTATCTACATATTTTAGATATACGATGCATTGCAAATTTGATAAATTTGATCACTGAAGTTTTTATTAAAATCAATCGAGTTAAGACTTTTATAGACACTTGTGGATATGTAACAAGATTTTTTAATAAATCATATTTACCTAATCAGTTACTTGAAAAAGGAATTCATGCAATGAAAATTAATGGGAGTGGATTACAATCTTATACCAAAACAAGATGGTGCTCTTTATGGAATTTAACCGATTCACTGTTACATTTATATCTTGTATTTAATTGGGTATATTAAATTTTATAATTTATATATTGATATATTGAATTTATATAATAATTTTTAAATTATTGATTTAGATTCAATTAAATTATGAAAATATTTTAACAAATGAACTTGTAAAAAATCAATTAATAATGATAATTTTTTTATAAATTGTTATCATATTAATCAAGTTATACAACCAGTAAAAATATGTGTTGAAAGACTTAAAGCTCGATCTGCAATATTAGCAGATTGCTATATTAATATATTAAAATTAGCTGCAGTGATTTATCATCTTCCAAAAGTAAATCCATTTAAATTACAAATAATAAACATCTATAATATTCAGTATAATGAATTAAATCATGAAGCATATCTTTTAAGTTATTATTTACATCCATCATACTGTGGTAAGTAAATTTAAATTTATATAAATGTTTAGATTGTAATTTTTATTAACAATTATGTCAATATAATTACATAATTAATTATAAGGATATGGTCTTAAAAATAAAACATTTCGTTTAGCATGTTTCACAGCTAGTAACTATTGGAAAGCACTTGAACATGATCAAGCTGATTGCATTGATTTGTTGTCAGAATTTCGTAAATATATTCATTATGAAGAACCTTACAATGTAGAATTTGATCCCCAAAAAGAATCTGCACTTGCATGGTGGTTAATACATAATATACAATACCATACAAGTCTAGAGGATTTGGCCATTAAAATGTTTTTGATTGTGCCATCACAAGCTGCATGTGAACAGAATTTTTCTATTCTAAAATGGTTTTATGGAGATCAGAGAAATCGACTTACAATTAACTGTATTGAGTCTATGGCCAAATTACGGATGTATTGGCTTTCAGAAATTAGAAAAGAACTTGAACATTATGGAAAAGATTTAACAGAGGAAGAATTACAGGCATGTGCTAATTTTACAACAATTCCAATTGATTTATCCTTACAAGATGATATATTCAATGATAACGAATCTTGTATTACAAATCAAAATATTTCAACTTCTGTTTTTATTCCGATGAATTCTAATATATTTATGACTTTTGAGACAAAGCTTAATATCGAAGATATAGCAGACCTCACTTTGTCTTTTTTTAATTTTAATAACATTGAATCGTGTTATGAAAAATTTCAATTACAATCTAGACCAACATCAAGCCAAGGCCGTGGAAATATGGACTTTGAAGTATCGAATATTGTTGATGAGGTCTTAGGAAATGAAACTGACGATAATTATTTTTAAAAATACTATACAATGTAAATGCTAATTTAATTAAATATAGAAACAATACAGTTTATTAGTTTATTGTTTTATTGCAAGCATGCGTGTCAATGTAAATGCTAATTTAATTAAAAACAATACAGTTTGTAGTTTGTTTTATCACAAGCATATGTAAAGTTTTATCAGTAGTTTTATCAATTTATATTTTGATACTTTTTATAGTTAAATCAAAAGTGTTAAAAATATAAACAGTATAAACCTATCACGTAGCTAGTTTATATTTTTATCAGGTTTTGTCAGAAGTATTGTCAGCATCACTAGTCCACACTATGGTGTGGCACATTCTACTTGTTACTTAATCACAACAGGACTGTGTGAAGTATGGTAATGTGTAGGGGGGTGGATAGGAGCAGTAAAAAGAGTAGATGAAATAGGCAAGTGAAGTAAAAAAGCATTAGCACTTTCTAAACTATGTCCACATTCAAGTATTACTAATTCATATTACACAAAACCCAAATCTAGGTGATCTTTGCAATAATAGCCTAGTGTGACTATTGTCAATGCATAGGGCTATTATTCTTACTTGGATTTCTTTATTAAATTTTATGGAAATATATGATGAAAATAACAGAGGATCTTTTGGGTTACAGCTGACAGTGTAGATGATATTCTAAAATCTCATTCTTGTTAAGGTGTTTTGTAATGTAGTTGAGACTGATCTAAGGTATAGTGCTAACAACTGTGATAACCACTCTCCAATACTTATTATTTGAGAGAGTGTTAGTCTGGCCCTCATAGCTCTTATTGTAACTTTTATGCATATACTGTGGCCTAAATACTTACTCTTCAACTTCGCATGTTGTGCCATCCTTTTCACTGCTGCATTCACTGCTTCCATTGTCATGTGCTTATCAGATATATTTAGAAATAGTGAGTCTTTATCTTTTCCTGACTTCTTTAGCTTTAAATACTTATATACCAGCCTTACTAGGCAGTATAGAGAGTTTGTAGGCTTAATTAAAATGAATTTCCCTTTTTAAAACTGGTTCATTTTTGATTTATTTATTCTAACTCAACAGATTTCATTTCCTATTTTCAGGTTCCTTATTAGCAAGTTACAAAGTTCTGCCAGGCAGTGCATAATGTGGAGACCAAGTACTATTATCGCTCAATCATGTTTCCAGATTACATTTGATGCACAGGTAAGAATTGGCAATATAAGTCTTTAATGCCTTTACAGGTAAGGGGTCACCTGGCCAGGCTGTCTCATAATTCATTGCTGCAAGCTTCATCAGGTTTTTTGTTAGTGCCTAAACATCAAAGTCTATAGTAGAGTCAGGAAATTTCATCTTTTTGTAAAACCAGCTTTTGCAATTAAATACATCTGTAGTTTCATTGACTGATCCAAAATATCCTTTCATACTGAAAATAATATAATAGATTTGGGATATGCTGGGCAAGAATATAAGTTGTGTAATCTGCAAAAGGTAGCAACTTTGTTCTACAGAACTCTAAGACACCTTTCATAGGCTGAGCTTAGTAGTAGATGTTTCTGTGCTTTTGCTAATAGCATATTCAAAAATAGATTCTCACTGCTTAAAATGTCCAATGTGGGTTTTTTCATGGCTCTGAAATCATATTTGACCTTGGGCTTGGTCTGAAGATTATAGTAGCCCAGGGTAGATTCATAAATTCTGCATTTTGTTGAAGTAGAACTGGCCACCAGGATGCAGAAGTCCATACTGAGATTATTAGGGTCATCTGTGCCTGATACTCTACCCCATGCTCAAATATTTTGTGGATCAGACCCAGGGGGGAGCACACATAGTTGTTCTCACTTTCCCAATTTTGGGTAAAGCAATCTCGCACCTCTACTTCTAGACAGTAAAAGCAGCTGTTGAATCAAGATACTTTTCTTATATGGATACTTGCCATACAATCTATTGTAAAGAGCCCCTATATATTGTTTATTTCCTAGAATAGGTCTGGAGAGAGTGACCAGTCTGATTCATTAATCATTCTTGTTAGTTCATCTGCAGGATTCATTTCAGATAAGATTTACTAAAATTCGTGAATCTGCATATTATGTTGGTTGCAGAGGTTCCATCCCTCTTGCATGATTTTCTTCTGACAGGGCATTTTGCCTTCAGCTTTTACAGTTTTCTAGGCAATCCAATTGTCTATAAAAATAGCCACCCAATGGTGTGTTATGATCGAAGTAAAGGTCTTGAAACCCAACAAAACTGCTATTGACTCTAGTAGTGCAATATCCATGAACCTGTGTCTGTTTTCCCATTTTCCAAAAGCCTGTTCCTGTCTCAGAGTTGCTAACCACCTAATTGTAGATGCATCTACATATATCAGAATTATTTGGAGTAGTTTCCAACCTAATTTTCTATTTTTTTTTTTAGGTTCTTTAATACCTAGCATATATTAGTAAGAGCTTGTTGCATTAGGTGCACAGGATTGTTTCATTCCTAGGGGTTTCTGTTTTCTGCATCAATAATAGCATAAAGCTCTAAACAATGGGCTTTTGTATATATGAATATTTGGTTTAGGCTTATAAGCTTCCCTGTTGCTAAGGCCAAGTAATGAACCATTACTACCTTTTTCGATAGCAGGCTTCTCAAAGCCTGTAACATTGAGTTTATCTTGGAGTCTGGTGCTGATACAATTCCTGTCACCATATTTAGTATCATTCCATAGAATTTTGGTTGTTGTATCAGGTTGAGGTGGCCTTTTTCTGCTAGTATGAACCTACAATTTCTCAGATCTGTGAGTATAATTGAATCTCTTATCTGTACTAATATATCATGGCAGGGGTGTGTCACCTGATATCATCTATATGATTTCCACAGGTAATTCCACTTGATCTTCAATGTCCTATTAGTGATTTCATTATTTTTGAGAATATCTATATGGCTTGGCTTAATCCAAAGGGCAAGACTTGATAGTGATACCACTTGTCTCTAATCTAAAAACCCAACAGTCTTTGCACACTCTCATCTATCATCACATGATGGTATTCCTCTTTTAAGTCTAAAACAATTACCCATCAGTTTCACCCTACTATACGTAGAAAGGTCCCAAATCCTTCAAACTTGAATGTTTTTTCTGGTAATATTGCATTTAGGCATCTGAAGTTGATCACTAGATGCCACTTTTTGGGGCCTAGTTTGGGGGTCAAGAATACAGAGCTTACTTCTAGCAAATGTTCAGATCTTTGTTTTGACTACACCACTGATGTAACTGCCTTTATCCTCAAAAGTTTCTCTATTTCTAGATCTAACCATAGTTGCTGTTCTTTTGTAAATAGATACTGAAACAGATCTGGTTGCATTAATAGTTCTATTAGCTCTTTTGAAAATAGTGGGATCCCATTCTTGAGCCAACTTATAATAAGGTTTGAGGCACTAATTTTCACCTTCCAATATTTGATATGCTTGTCCATATGTAGGCACCCTATTACTGGTATTTGTTGCTAGGCCTGAGTGTTGTCAATCATTCTTTGTGCTTTCTTGTTGTTTGTTAAATCTGTTTTTATTTGTTGCATATCCACATGATTAGTAATTAAAGGTACTTTTACTTAGGGTGAAAAACAAATATTTGTAAAATATTCAAGGCCCCCACAGATATAGTATTTGCTTGAGGAAGCCAGGGCATGGTTTTGAGGTTAGTTATATATATAAAAAGATCAGTTGAAACTTGAATTGTTACTTTTATAAGTTTTACAATAATTATACCCTCTTGATAATTGTTTTTTCCTAAATTTTGGGTTTTTTGTTATTTACTTCTTTTAACATCTGCCAGATTTTTCACTTTTTCAATTAGATCATCCTTTTCTTTTAGCCACTCATCTTGTATGTCAGGTAGGGCAGATGCAATTTCCTATCTATATCCTTCAGCTAATTGTAGTGTAAACATTCTATTTGTAATTTTTTCCTAGGCCTATTTATATGGTTTACGGCATCATTTATATTTTTTAATTCTACAGCTAGATCAAGTTCTTTTTCTACCAGGCATAATATGTTATACTCATGCTGGTTCAGAATTTTTCAAATTTGTGAACTGGCCAGGCATCATTTATTTCTACTCTTTGGTAGATATCTTGTATCTGAGCAGACACCAAGTTTAACTTATTGTTAAATCCTAAGATTGCAGTCTCCAATTTTTTAAACTCCAATAGCATCTTGTGTTCTAAGGCACCTGGGTCTTCATTGTCATCATCATTTTGATATCAGCATTTGTTTGATTTTCTTGGTATTCCATATGTATCCTCTATCATTTGGTGTTGAGAACTTTGCCCTTCTGCATCTTGGATATCTGTTCTTGATGGTAAGATCTTGGTTTTTTCTCTTGATTTTTGAACCATTTCTCTTAATGTTTTTATTTGGGGGTCAAGTTTGTGTACTTCATTTTCTTCAGTTGGGTGTTCTAAACATATTGACATGGTATCTTCATAGGACATCTTTCCTTGTTTCTTAGCACCTTCATAGAAAACACCTCTTATTTTTTGTATTAGGTCAGTCTTAGTCCCTTCTGTTAAGATTCCAAGACCATAGCAAATTGCTTCCAGGTTATTCTTCATGAGGTTTGAGTCTGCCATAATCTCCTGCTTTTTCTTTCTTTGCTTTTTTTTTTTTTTCTGTTCTATTTTTGAAGTTACATCAAAATGAAAAAGCTGAACCAGAAGTCAAGTAGTAAAAAAAGTAGGTGAAATAGGCAAGTGAAGTAAAAAAGCACTAGCATTTCCTAAACTACATCAACATGCAAGTATTACTAATTCACATTACACAAAGCCCAAAACTGGATGATTCTCATGATAATAGTCCTAGCATAACTATTATTAATGCATAGGGCTATAATAAAGTAGTTTAGTAGCCAGGATTGTATTAATAAAGATAGTGTATTTTTTAGTAATTGTATTATAATTAAAATAACATTTAGAATATATTATAATAGTAAAAAAGAAATAAGATAAAAATTAAAAACTTAGACTAGAATAAGTAATGCTAATAAGTAATAAAACTAAGATATATAGAGTTATTATGTCTTCTAGTCTTATCAATAATTATTTAGTTGTTAAAAATAATAAGTAATTAGAGTATAATATTAAAGATAAAATAACTAGTAGTATAAAAAAAATAATTTGTTTAAAATAAGTTAAAATAATTATATAAAGTATATTGATAAAAATATATTAGTTTTTTTTTTTTTAAAATTAAAGTCTCTGCTTTTGGGAATTAATGTTTTTATTCAAGTATTTGAACACAGATGCCTTTAGGGGCTTCTATACATAGGAGGTTACAACTAGCCACATGTGCACTTTTGTGCTAATTTAAGCAGTCTGCTTATATATTACTATAAAGGTTCTATACTAGATGCCATACTTGCAAGTCAACTGCAGATCTTGTCTATTTAAACTTTCTGCATATGTAATCTGAATTGTAATTACATGGACATCTTCTAGGCTACACCTATCCAAAGTACACAATGCTTTTAAAATTCTTAGAACTAATTTATTCTTAATAGAAAACTTATTAGAACCTTCTGTGTTCTACATATAGCTGATCTGTTTTATGCAATACACTATAGTTATCTAACACTTGCAGTTACAGAGGTTACCTGTTTAACAACTACATTACACTATTTCTATTTTTGTAAAGTTCACTAAAACCCTAGTACCTATTATTGTAACATTTTCTTTATTATTCCTTACTAACTGCTACTCAAAACTAACAGAACTTCTTTGATTTTTAATTAAGATAACCCAGTATAGTATACATATGTATTCTTTTTTTCCATCAGCCTAGTTGGTTATATGCTCCTCTATACATCTTGATATCTGATTTATTTGCCTATTCCTTTGAGAGTGTTTTATAGATTTCTAACAGTCTAACTATACTGTCAAAAGTTTATGCTACCTCTTTACTTAAGAATTTCCAAGTGGGCTTCTAACTTTTCAGTTCTTTAGTTTACTGCACCTAGTGGTTTGCACTGAAGTCTTATGTGACACTAGTTATTAACATTTTTTTATATATATGTAATATTACATTTCATATAAATGCTCTAAGCTTTTATTCAAGATGGTATAATTTAAGATTACAGATACACAAATCCAAACAATTGTTAAGAGACAGTTTGCCAAAATACAAGTCAATTTTTAAATTTTGTTATAAGTAGAAATTAAACCTTAGACCTGCCATTTGGAGAATAACAACCCAACTACTACACTAGAATTGCTATCCTCAGAATATATTATAGTATTATTTTTAAGAATAATAAACTATTAAGATAATACATCTTTAAAAATTTGTTTAGTTTAAAAAAAATATATTGCTAATATAATAAATATAAATTGTTATAACTAGTAAGTTGATCAAAAAAGATATTTGAAATATCTAAGTTGTTTTTTAAAAAGAAAGTATTTAGAATAAGAAAAAAGAAAAAATTTAAAAAAAATAGGTTTATTATTTAAATTATATAGAATATTTTAGATTGTGTTAGTTAAAAATATTAGCCAATATGCTTAATAAGGTATATTATTTTAAAGTTTGTAGTTAAATAGTTAAGACCATTAATAATTTGATTAGAGTATAAGAAAATATTAATAAAAGACCAAAAATTATTTTGTAATTATTAAATTCAAATACAAATAAATATGTCTAATAGATTAGTATTATTAAGTAATTTAAAAAAATTAGAAATATAATATTATAATTAAATATTTTAAATATATTTAATTTTATAAATTTGAAGATATAAAAGAGTATTAGAAGGGTATTATATGCCAAAGTTTGGCTTTAAGTTTAATAAAGCCAATAAGCTAAATAAAGATTTTGTTGCAAGTATAATAGCTAACTATAATATTTTGAAAATAGTATTTAAAACTAAAAATAATTAATATAATGAACATATAAGTTAGTAATATATTTAGTTTTAATAATTTAAAAAAATTTAGAAATAAGTAGTTTTGTTTGTTTAAATTGTCTATTATTCAAAATAAACCAGCAAACTAAAAATTTAAAAAGTTGTTTAAAAGAGTAAAGGAAATAAAAATAGTTATTATAGAAGATAATAGTATAATAAGATAAAAACTATTAGTAACTAGAATGATTTTTGAGAAATTAATTTAAATATTAATCAAGTACAAAAAGATTTAGCTATAAATAATATATATAAAAGCTTATATTGTAATAAAGCAATCCAAAGAGTATAATTTATATATACTAAAATAGAACATTGTTTTTGTAATAAGTTAGTATTTAAAGTTTAAGATTAGTAGTTCAAAAAGATTGTATTATATAACTAAATATGTCTGAATATATATAAGAGATAAGTAGGTTATAATAAATAAGCCATAATAGAAAAAAGATAATTTTATTCTGATCAATACTATTGTAAACTAGGTAGAATAAAGTTAAACCAAGCTTAGTAATAACTTGGTTATAGTAGTTAGTAAGAAGGTTAGAAAGAATATTAATAATATATAAGAAGTATAAAAGACAGAAAAATAAATATTTTAAAAAAACAAAGTTAACAAAGTTATAAGCTTTGCTTATATTTTGTAAAAGCTATCATATGTCTTTATGATTACAAGAAGTAGCTTTAATAAGATTATTAAGAATATAAATAGAAATTAAAGTGCTATTATTTAAAAGAACAATATAATTAAAAGGCAAGAGAATAAGATAAGAAAAAAATACAAAGTTAAATTAATTTATAAAAATTTTAATATAAAATTTGTGAATGTATTTAATAAGAAAAATATTTTAAATAAGGTTAAAATTATTATCAAAAGTATTTTATTTAAAAATAAAATAAATTGTACTATATTTTTATTAATTAGGAATTTTATTCTCAAAAAAACAATGCTTAAAAAAAGAAGTAATTGCAAAAGTATATTAAGAACTAATATATTTAAACATTCATAACTAATAATAATAAAAATACAATTTTTGTTATTTGGTAGCTAAGAAAAAGTTTGAAAAAGTTTTTATTAGTATAAAAAAATTAAGAAAATAATATCAAATTGAATTAATATAAAGAAATAAAAGGTAGTATTGTTGCTAGAAGTTATTGAAAAAATTTTGATTAATAGATATAAGTATATTTAATTAAAAAATATAATTAGACATATTGTTTAATAAGTAATATGTTTACTAGGCAGTTTTATATTAAGGAAATAACTAGGTTAATAGTAGTAATTAAGAATATTATTAATAGTTTAAAAAAAATATATTGTAAGAATAATATATTTTTTATAAGTAACTTAATTAATTTGTTGTTTTAATAAAAAAGAGAACTCAAAATGATAAACATGAAAAAGTTGTTTTTAGATAAATAAGCATAATAAAGTTATAATTAAGTAAATAAGAGATTAATAAAGTTAAATAATTGAAGAACATATTGTAACTATTTGTTAATTTAAAAAATATTTTATTAAATAAGTTTTTTAATAAGTTTGATAATGTGGCCAAGTTTTCTAAGATATAAGTATGATAATATACTGTAAAGTAAGTATTAATAATTATAGCTACATTTATAAAAAACTTTATTAAAATAATATAAGTGCTAATATTAATAATAAAGTACTAAATTTTGTATTATCTAGTTTTAATACTTTTATAAATTTATTATTAATAGAAGTTTTATGCAATAAGAGTTATTTAGATAAAGTATTTGCAAAGAAATCCTAGTTCTCTGTAAACATTATCTTATAATTAAAAAAGAGTAATTAATGCCAGTATGCTTGTATAAAGGTTTGTCATAGACATGTATAAATGTTCAAATAGAGAAAAAAATTAGTAATTACTAAAAATAGATATTTAACTGTTTTAAAGACTGTAAGAAAAAGAAATTGTATGTTGAATTGGTCAGTTCAAATATAGTTAATATAGCTACTATTAGTATTATTAGACTAAATAAAATATTTGTTGTTAAAATGAGCTCAAATATTATATATATTAGAATTATTAAGAAAATTATTAAGTTTGTATTTAAAAAAGAGCTGTAAGTGTTATTTTATATATTAAAATTACCAAGAATAATAGTATAAATATGAAGTTAAAAGGTTTGTTTATTATTATTATTATTATTATATAATATCAAATAAGTAAAATAATAATATATAAATATATCAATTAGATATAAATATACAAATAAAATATTTTTAAACTACACTATTATTGCTATATATATAATAATATCTAGCATAATATTAATCTTTAATTTTCTGTTTTAGTTAAATCAACTATTATAATTATTAACTATAGAAAAAGATAAAAAAAACCCTTAGAATTGTTTTAATTAGTAATAACAGATATATATAATAAAATTTTAAAAAAGAGTTTTAAAAATAAGTTGGTCTATATTAGTATTAAATATGAATATATTATTATTAGAGTTAAAAGATATATAATCAGTAATTAAGCATTGTTTTTCCTTTTAGTAAAAGAAATAATTTCTTATATTAATTTCTATTTATATTGTTTGATATTTCA